TTTACGCTGCGCAATTGCTTTCTCTCTCTAGCCGCCTTCTGCCCTGCCCCTGTTGCAAGGATCCCTAGGTACCGTACGTTGCCATGTCTACTTCTAGACCGGAGTAACACTCCATAAACCCAAGTGCTAGAGGCAGCTCGTCCTCCGCCGAGGATCGTTGGGATGACCGGTGTACCTCTGGTGATGACCTAGAGTTTTATGAACGGGGAATGCCACCTCGGCCTCCCTGATACTCTCTAAACTTTTCGTGCATCCGGCGTCAGCGCCAGCACTTGCTCATTGCCGATAAGCGGATGATCAGCTAATGGTTTTATCCTCCCAGGGTGTACGACGATCGTCGCCTTCGTCACCCCATGCGCCATCTGCCCGCCTTCGCCTTCGGTTATAGCCGGCCTTTTATTCCCTCTGCAACCCTTCCATCTGGATTTTTTTAGGGATTTGTGCGTCACTCCGGCACAGCTCGTCACTTTTTCCTATAGAATCTTAGCAGGTTTCATCATCCGGTGCCATAGTGTGGGTGTGGTCCCCACCAGAGACTTGTTCCACCATTTCTTTCGCGTGTCCACATATGGTCGTACGAGATATTTATGCCTGACCGCTCGTCCTTCAAAGATCCTTTTTGCTAACAATGCCCCGAATCTGAGCGGTTGGGAGGAGCGATTCTTCCTCGTCGGGGTAGGCTCCCTGATGCCCTTCTCCGATAGGTGGAACGCCTATCCGATAAAGTTTGGCCCTCCGCCTATGACAGAAGAGGAACTACGCCACGCCAGCCGCATAGCCGACCTGTGTGTTCAGAACCTCCGTCTATTGGTGGCAGAGCCCTTCATAACCCGGGTTGGACTAGGTGCGTCTGAGTGTATTTCTGCATTTTTCCTGTTTGTTAGGGAATATGGACCTGACCGTCTTGTTTTCCTTTCGGCAAGAGTTTTCACGAATCCTCCCACCATGGGACGCTTCAACAACATTCCTTCCATCCCCGGTTGTCAAGGCAGAAATCCGGACAAGGATAGGAGGCCGCTCATCCCCAAAACCGAGCCCCAGGTAACGAGGTCACGAACTGAGGAGGCCTCGGAGATTGGTCCTTTGAAAAGGCCTCGCCATGAGGGTGCAGCTTGTCGGGCCATCATGGTGGTGGATGACTCCGACGACGAACTTGGTAGTCCTTTGAAGCGGAAGCCGACCTCTAGGAACAAGCCCCCTCCATCGCCTCCGAAAGAATTCAGACGTCCGTCGGCTCAGGGATGAGGACGCTCATGAGGCTCATCCTTCTTCCTCCCAATTCTTATCCTTCAACAACATGGCCGCTCGTGATGCCGGTTCCTATGGTGCCCATGCATCTTCACCTCCGGAGACAAGCCAGTCCACTCTCGGGCTTATTCACTTTTCTGGTGTCGGCCCCCGCAAAGAGTCTATGATGCTCTTTGGTCAAACCGCATCTTCCATTTGGTGTGGGCTCAATCTCAAGGTGCCCCAGCAATTCGCTGCCCAAGAGGCCCCTGAGGATCTTCTTGAATGTGGTCAAAGCACCCTGGATATTTATTTTGACGCACATCACGACAAAGTGCACGTCAGTGTGTATATACATACACACACACACACACACGCACACGCACGCGCACACGCACACGCACGCGCACACGCACACGAACACGCACCCCCGCACACGCACACGCACACGCACACGCGCACGCACACGCACCCCACCCCCACCCCCACCCCCACACGCACACGCACACGCCCACGCCCACGCCCACGCGCACACACACGCACGCACACGCACACACGCACGCGCGCACGCGCGCGCACACACACACACACACGTACGTACGTACGTACACACACGTACGTACGCACGTACGCACGTACACACGTACACACACACACACATGCACGCACGCACGCACGCATGCATGCATACATACATGCATACATAGATATATAGTATCACATACAAAGTCATCTTAATCTACAAAGTGCAAATTAATCTTAGCCATATATTTCAATGGGATTACCGTGTATTTAATTTGGTAGATCCTAAAACTTCTCCAAAAATGTGTAACGGCATGCACTTGAGAAAAAATAGGGATCCTAAACCTCACTAACGGCTGATTGATGGTTGCCTAATTAATTGCGACCATTGATTTTGTATTTTTGAATGAATGAGATGAATTTGTATTTTTTACTGGAAGCATGATTTGTGTCCGATCTTCACCCTATATATATATATATATATATATATAGTAGGGATCAAATGAGAATAGCATCTTATGAGAGAAATAAGAATGATTAGGTTTGATTTAACCAAATCCGTTAATGGGACTAACGGTTTTCTTAGAGCTACACCGTTAATTATTAGAGCATCTCCAATTATTAGAGCATCTCCAATGCACGGTGCACATGTGGCATGAGTCATAGCCACATAAATATTAGCAAATAAATTATCTCTCTCCTTATTTAAATGATTTTATACAATTTTGATAAGTTTTTCTCTGCAATGTCAACAACAATGTCAACATTTAGACGGTCTCCTTGACATTGTGGAGAAAAACTTACCAAAATTATATAAAATCATTTAAATAAGGAGAGAAAGAATTTATGTACTAATATTTATGTGGTCATCTCTCATGCCACGTGTGCACCGTGCACGTTATAGCATTTGAGATGCTCTTAGAGCTTTAATGAATGGAAAATGATGTTTGTACCCACTTTTATACCCACTTTTGTACCCACCCATGTTTGTGAAGTTATTTTTTTTGTCTGTGAATTCCTTCACAGACAAAATATGTATGTGAAGGAATTCAAAGACATATTTTGTCTGTGAACCGGCTTCACAGACAAAAAAATAGCCTTCACAGAGGTGGGTATAAGATGAGTACAAAGTGGTGGGTACAACAAGCATGGTTGTGAATGACTGAATGGAACATCTCCACTGTCACGTAAATAGCATCGTAATGAAGTCAAATTACGTAACCTTTGTTTCTTTTTTTAAGTTCTCAACTTCTACTCTCATATTCTTAATTCCTAATTAATTCATTATTGTACTTTTTTTGTCTAGATTCATTTAATTTTTAGAGAAGTTTGAAAGGTTCTCTAAATTTGGGAATATCTAGATGTACTAAATTTATTTAGACACGTCTAAAGTAATACTCCCTCCGTCTCGCTAAGATTGTCCCATTTTACCTTTTCGGGAAGTACCACTAAGATTGTCTCATACCAAATATGATAAAGTTTGTGTGGTTCTAAATTATTCTTACTTTATTTTTACTTTTTCAATTCAATATCAACTACATAAACACTCTTTTCTTAATAACCGTGCCACCTTCTTCCGTCCTAATGTTAGTGGGACGGAGGTAGTATTAGCTTTGAGTGTGTATTTTATTTTATGAATATATTTGGTGTGCACTTTTTGTTACTTGGTGGTGCTTTATAACTATTATTATTATTATTATTAGTATTATTACTATTGTTATTATTATTGTTGTTGTTTTCATTATTGTTGTTATTTTTATTAAAGTGCAAAATAGTTTGTTTAAGAATAATTATGCAAATGTAAATGATAAACGGAAATTGTCCTAAATAGGACTAATGAGTTCCTAAAAAGCACAAATAGGACTACTACTTTTTAAATTCCCTAAATAGGACTAAACATAGATTTTCTACCCTAAATACCCCTAAGAGTATTAATTCATAATGAAATGCTTTAATTCATAATAAAATCATAAAAAAAATGTAAAAAATATTTAAAAAACGTAAAAAAATTATAAAACATTTATAAAATAAAAAATTTAATTTTTATTTTTTTAAATTTTTTTTAAAAAATATTAAAAAATAGAAAAAACCCATAAAAAAATGAAAAAAATATGGATACATTTCCCACCGCCATCCGCCGCCTCCCAGCACCACCACCTCCGATTGGTGAAATTTCTTCCACTTTTGGTAAAAAATGCCATCTTTTTCTGAAAATGCCAAAAAGATGGCATAATTATTCTTCAATATGCCAACATTTTCATTGAATATGCCATCATTATGGCATTATTTAAAATGTTGGCATATTTTTCTCCGGTGATGGGAGCTGGTGGTGCTGGGGGTGGCAGGGGTGGTAATGTTTTTTTTTTATTTTACGATTTTTTTTATTTTTTTTTTAAAAAAATATTTTTTTTTAAATTTTGTTAAAAAATATTTTTATTAATTTTCTATTATCTTTTTACGATTTTTCATTTTTTTTTTTCGATTTTTATTATTTTTGTATGATTTTATTATTAATTAAAACATTTCACAAGTTACAAGGGTATATTTGGCCAAACACACATAAATAGTCCTATTAAGGGAATTTTAAAAATGTAGTCCTATTTGTGCAATTTTGCCACTTTTTAGTCCTATTTAGGGAATTGACTCAATGATAAAAGTGCGCAATAATGTTCCTAAAATGCACATTCACTTTTAGGTATGTGATATAGTTAATGATACAAGATCATAAATTTGCCATAGAGCACCACTAGAATAACAAAAGTTGCACATTAATTTTCATTTGAATGAGAAAATAAATTGTTATATCATAAAGTGCACAATCAGGGGTTAAAAATAAATGTAATCATATAAATGATAAAAGCACAATAATATTTCTACAAGTGCAATGTAGTACTTCTAGATATGCACTTTTACCGTATCATAATTACATTAGAGATAAAAGTGCATAATTGTGCCGTATCTTAATGAACTAAACTTGATCACATATATATTGTTAAAATTTTTGTATCGTAGAATGCATAATATTTAGTTTAAGAATAAACGTGCAGATACAAATCATAAAAGTGACCAAAAATATTTTTAAAATTGCATATGTATTTCTTTTAGACATGTAAGTGCACAGTTGTGCAGTTAAAGATAAAAGTGTGTAGCTTTGCAATATTAGTGCACAACTAAAATAATATATTTACAGATTTTGGAGAAAATATTACCACTTACGATAAGAATTTCTACAAATGACTCATTTTTTTTAAAGGAAATCAACTATATTGATATCATTAAAATCAAGATCGTTACATTAATCTCAAAGTGACCAAAACTGACAACACACTTCACCTTCCAACTACTACTATTAGCCCTATGATTAGACACAGAGACGACCACCCCTAAAGGAGCAATATGAATCGTTAACCACCAGACAGGCTTAATACAGCTACTGCTGAAAAAATAAATTCGTCCCCCACTAACAATATCAAAACTAGCCGAACCCTCGGTTAACGTAAAAAACCTACTACCATAAGCAAAAAAAAAAAGCAACAACAACGAATTTATTAGTAAAAAGTCTAAAAATGGGGAGAATGAAATTAAGCAGGATGAACTTATTGAGCGGCTGAATCCAATCTTCCAGCGCAATGTTCTGATCCCTTACCCCTTTTCGGCATGGCGGCGGTTCAGGAGGTGGGCGGATCTTCATCACTTCATCTTCTTCATTCAACACCTTGATATTCCCATGATTCGCCTCCTTCTCTGGGCCAAGATACCGCACAAGCACCACCAGTCCAAACACGAACAATCTCCAGATCCATATCATCTCCAATGTGCTGCAATTGAGATTCGCCAATGTCCTCTGAGCCCGAATGCACCCGCGTTCCACCCCTTCCTCCAGATGAGGAAAAAACTAGCAAAATCCAGGACACTGAAACACCAAGAAAGCTATAGCGCCGCCCGCCAATAAACCTAGACTTGCAAGGACCGCCGCCGCCGTGGAACCTAGGCCTTCACCGCTCCGATGCGATGAGGAGACCCTAGGCGCCGCAAGTAGAAGCAATGTCTCAATGACTTCTTTAAAAATGGTTTTTTTTCATGAACTAAACTAGATCACATAATATATTGGTAAAACATTTGTTCAATAAAATGCACATGCAATGTTTGGTTGTGAATAAATGTGCATATATAAATCACAAAAGTGACCAAAAATATTGTTAAGTGCATCGTTGTATGCTTTTTGTGACACCGCACCCGAACGTCCTTGAAAATTCAATTTAAAAATTTAATGTCTATGTATTGAATTTCCGATTTCCAAACAATTGTGAAACGATTAATGTTTTACATAGCGCATGATTGATTATTGTACTGTTCAAACTCGTATATTGGTGTCGGGTTTGCAAATACTTATTTGGGCCTTATTAATGAACATAAGAGCCCAACATTACCTAAATATTGTTACATAACCTTTCAAGACAAGTTGAGGAAGGTCGGGCGGCCCAAGCATTATTTTGGGCCCAACCTGCTAAAAATAGTAAGTATTCAAGGAGGGCGTCTGAGGCCCACTCGAGGGTGACCCACACGGCTAGTAGTCCAATAATTTGAACAACAAATATCAAAATAAGTGATGGAATGATTAGAGAAGAATACAAATGCCTATGGTCCCATCTTTGACATTATTGAGTTAAATAATGGGAGTAGAATTTTTTCTTGTATAATATTCATCATGTAAATTATTGGGATGATCCTACACATATTGGGGATCAATAATATGATGTATGAAGTTGACTTGGCCTACATAAATTATAATGAGTACAAAAAGACATCTTATGACAAAGATAAAACAATAGGGTCCATCTTTTCATTTTGGAAGTATTGGTAGGTATTTTGGACCCCAAATTGAATGGGATCATTTGGGAACCATTTCACATGACCTTGGTACCTGCAAGACAAAGAAAAATGGGTGAAACGACTATGTGGGGCGGACTTTTTGACTCATGAGCTACAACATTTCAAAAAGGAAATAAAAGAGGAGGTCCACACCATGTTTGATTGAAATCAAACACCCTACCTTTCTTTTTGTGAACCACATGCTCTCTTAGCATGATTGAGGCCTCTTATACACTCCCCCTACACCCCATTCGAACCCCAATGAGATAAGAGAGCAAAGGGAATCCACACAACCCAAGAGAGAAGGAAGGAAGAGAGCAGTCCGCAAGTTCGTTCTTCAGTGCGTAGCTCTGATTGTTTGAGCCATAACTTGAGATTAACTCGTCCAATTAAGTCGTATAAGATACCAAAAGAAAGCTATCAAGACGAGGAATCCGTGGAGGTCTGGTTTGCATCAATCGGAGTAGTGGAAGGCTTCCAAATTATCCGAACAAAACACAACCTCGCAGAATACGTTTTTGTATTCAAAGTAAGTTTGAATCCAAAACCTTCCTCTCTATTGTCTAAATCATATAAATGATTGAAGAACTATTATACACTGGTTGAAGTGTATAAAATGTTATTATAAAGTGACTTTAATTGTTGGAAAGGTTAGATACTAACCTAGACAAAACCTTGAAGGGTTAGGGAACGAATTTGTCGGAAAACACCCGTTCTAGGGACTTTTCGTGTCTTCGGTTAGGAGTTGAGCTAGCACCTTGAGGAGGCTGTTTAACACTCATTTCTAAGCAAGGAATCAGTTCTCAAACTTCCTTGGCCGAGGCTTTGGTCATATATTGGATCAAGAAGGAAAAGTTTAAAGCTCAATAAAGGTGAGGA